AGTCTCTTCCTCTGCCTCTCTCTCTCTCTCTCTTTTTTTTTTTTTACTTCCTGACCACTGAATGAGCACTTTTGCTCTGTCACATACTTCCATAATGTACTCCTTTGACATAGGCCCCAAAGCAGCTGGGCCTGTTGATCAAGGGTCTCCAAAACTGTGAACCAAAAACTAAACCTTTTCTCTTTATCAGTTGATTACCTCAGGTATTTTATAGTATCAGAAAGCTGACTAACACAGTGGGGAAGGAGAATGAACAAAAAGATTGCTATTAGCCTCTGAGTGTGACCATCCTTTCCTAAACTTGTCTTCCACTCTTGTTTCCTATTAAATATAACATGTGCACAATTATTTGATGAACAACATCTATCACCTAAATACATCATGGTATGTTCAGAATATGTTTCCATAGCAACAACTGTGAGGCCTTGTTACAAGCATAATGGTTACTACAGTACACAACTATATCAAGATACCTTCATTTATTTTACAAATCCTCACTCATTAGACATTTAAGTTGTCTACACTTGTTCTTTATTTTAGTCAATGACTTTAAACAAATGCTTACTTTACTCCTTATGAGTCTTTGGGCACAGATCTCACTCAGACAAGTTTTTGAAAAGTTACCTTCCGGGTTACAAAGTCTATCTCCAGCCAGGCGCAGTGGTGTGCACCTGCAATCCGAATGCCTTGGAGGCTGAGACAGGAGGATCATGAGTTAAAAGCCAGCTTCAGCAACTTAGTGAGGCACATAGCAACTCAGCAAGACCTTGTCTTGAAATAAAATATAAAAAAGGCTAAGGATGTGGCTCAGTGGTCAAGTGTCCCTGGGTTCAAATCCTGGTATTAAAAAAAAAAGTCGATCTCCATTTTATAGTTACAATTTTGATCCAGAAAAGGTAACATATCCAAGAACCAGAAGTTGTAAGGCAAGAATTTGAAACAACTTCAAAAGCCTGGCTATTTCTGTGCTATTATGCAGAAAACTTTATGCCTCAATTGCAAGTGAGAATGTTCTTAGTATTTTCTTACTTCCTGTCACCTGGTGTCATCCTGGACACATAAGAGATGGTCCACAGAATTGTCATTCTTCAGTGAATAAAAATCTGGGGTATTATAACTTGAAGGGAAACAGAAGCTCATAAGCTCAGTAATGAATTGCACATTTGTTCACTCTCCTCAAAGCTAGCGTTTAAACAAATAATTCGTATGTACCTGTCTTGCTGACATGGACCACATAACCACCTGCTACATAGACAGCCCAGTGTCTATAGAAAATGCAGTCAGTTCTCAATCAGGTCTCCAGGTTGTGGGTCTTCATGGGACTGCAACAGAAAAACCACAGACAGTGTAGACAGAGTTCTAAAAAACATCAGAAACCCTTTGGGGGAGCTTCTGAAATACCCTGTGGTAACTGGTGGTACCTCAAAGGGAAGAGACTTTGAGTGACTGGTGAGAGTACCAGCTTCGCTGTCACTATCCAAGGACCCTTTGGAGGGGCACAGGAGACAGGGTTTGCTCCTAGTGTGTGTTTCATAGCTTTGGTGCCATGCATTTAGGTATGTGCACATGATTGCATTTTTACAAATGTTCTAATGGCATGTGACCCCGCATGAAAGATCAGCACAGTGCAATATGCAAGAGGCACCGTCTATGATGGAGAAACTCACCAAACGTGGGCCGAAACTGTTGACTGTTGAACCCTCTATTTATGCTGGCCCTCACGCCTCATAGTTGTTGTGTATTAACTGTGTTTATCTTTTATTTCCTATTCCAAGGTTTTGAAATGGAGGAATTGCTGACCCTGGAGAGCCTCCCCACCATCAAAGGGATACACAATTCCTAGAGTTGGCCATCAACCCCCAGCCCCGAACACAAGTGAACTAACCAATCCTCAACCACTCTCCCAAACACCTGCGTCACTATTTTCTCACACTCCAGGCCACTGCTGTCCTTCTCTCCCTCAACCAGAGAGCAGACCTTACTAGCCATGCTGTGGTCACTGCTTCTCTACATAGTCACTCTCCTCCCAGGATGGGGGGTGCCACTGCAGGTTCCCTTCCCTGCCCATGCCTTGGAGCCTGCCTTCTGCCCTCTCTCCTTTTCCTGTTCCCTCTCTCCTCTTCCCGTTCCCTCTCTCCTCTTCCCGTTCCCTTCCTGTTCTCAGTGCACAGACCCCACCTCCAGCAGTCAGCCTCCACTCTTCCATCAATTCCTGTGCTCCTCTGTCACCCTCCTTCTCTTTCCCACCTGCATTCAATGCCCAAGTCCCCTCCATCTGGCTCAAGAAGCTTCTCCTGAATCTGTTAGCTCATCCCATCTCACCTTCCACTAACAAGGGCCACTTCTGCTACAACACAGCCCCTGCTGGCCTCCCTCCCTCCTGTCCCAACCACTCCTTATCCAGGTTCTCCATCATCCAGGGGCACCATCCACAGGAAATTTCTGACCATGATCCATCCTCGCCATCGGGCCCTTCCTCCCTCACCCCCTTACCCTCATCCCTCTGCACTCCTCCTGTTCTGCTCTTACCAAGCTACCTGTTTCTCTCGCCTCAGGTTTTCTAACCCCTACATCTTTCCCATCATCTTCTCTCTGTCTTCACATACCTTCCCAGGCCCTTTCTCCACAGCACAAACTGTGCTCCATGGAGACATCCCTCTGCTGAGGAGCCTCCTGCCCCAGGTGGCCAGCTGGCCCTCCTCCAGATCCCCAGGCCTGCAGCACCTCCGCCTCTGTGCACACATCACCTGGGGAGGTGCTGTTCTACCCTGACTGTCCCCTCCCTGAGCCCATCTGGGTTTCAGATCTATTTGGGGATAGTAGGATTGGGTTTAGGATTCACTGCTCAGCTCCTTCTCCATTTTGACAAAAGCTGATCATGGACCAGGACACAGCAGGGCTCCCAGAAGGGTCAATCTGGGGAGTGCCTCAGACTCTCTGGTTCTAACCATTTCATTACCATTATTGTTATTTTATTTATATTTAAAATTTAAATTTGATTTTTTTAAAAAATGTTTTCTTAATGCATTGTAATTGTGCATAATATTGGGGTTTCTTTGAACGTAACCAAATACGCATGGGATATAACTTATGCCATTCCAGTCCCCAGTACTTCCTCTTCCCACTCCTCCCCTCCTCTGTTCCACTTCCTCTATGCCATAAAGACAGCATCCTCCTGCCTCTACGAGTTACCTTGGACTAGGATTGGCAGCCTGGGATTCTCTCTGGAAAGATCTTGGGGCAGGCAGGAGGCGTTTGCATAAAAACAGAAGTAAACTAAGAGCAGCTTCAGCAGCCTGGACCTTTGCTGTCTCTTTAAGAGGAGGACAGGAATTTGATGGGCCAGGCTCAGTTAGCAGCTCATCACCAAAGACCCAGGCTCTTTAGGTCACACTGACCCTGTGTCTACAGTGTTACACTGCATGGGTCACTACGGCCACAGCAGCCTCAAGTGGCATATTTCACCTAGTAGTGTCCACAAGAAAGAGAGCAAGATGTTTCTCACCATTTGTCTCCCTTCTCAGGAAATCAAATCCTTCCTCCCAGGGCTGACTTGCTCCCACCTTTCATTGGCCAGAAACTGGAGCACATTTTCATCCCAAAACTGTGGGCATAGCAGAAGGGGATCCTCTGACAGTCTCAGACACCCACCGTGCATCACCTGGACCTGGGGAGGGCCTCCTGCTGCCCTGTGAACACCAGTGCTCAATCTCTCTGCTCCCTGGAGGATCTGGCAGGAGATACTGATGTGAGGCCTCCCTGGCAGCAGGCATGGGGAATGGGCTGGGCCCCATCAGAGGAAGCCTGTGCCCTGGGACTCTGCAGGGCACCATCCTCCACAGCTCCATTCCCCTCCATAAGACCAGGCCCTGGACACTTTGCCCAGTATCCGTGCACTCTTCATTCTCAGGCTTGGGCATGAAATGATACATTCTTACCAATTTATATTGCAGATTCTCATAGAAGTTCTCTGGAACTGGCTCTGCTGATAGAGATTTTGTGAAAGCACCTCAGGAGAATCTGAGGCGCAGCCCTGGTGAGGATCTCTGCTTTAGGCCTTGAAGAATCTGGGGTGTGTCTGGACCCCTTACCATGAGTGATCAGCCCTAGGCTAGCTCTCCAAGCCACGAATCCTCAGCAGCTCAGCCCCTGGTGAAAATTAGTGACTGGCCAGCTGAGGGGGTGGGTGTCTAAAAGATGGGGCCCATTTAGGAGATGATAGAGGGCAGAGGAGGTGGTGGGGACACTCCAAACTAGGGAGCAGGACCCAGGTGACTACCATGGTCAGGTGGCACCAGGCAGAGTGTTCAGGCCTAGGTGAGGAGAACCAGGAGGAGATGGGTGTAGCTCATGTGCCCTCTGAGCCTTCATAAAACAGGGATAAGATAGATACAGGGCCCTGCTCAGCCCAGGGTTAGAGGAGGAGCAGGTACGTAAAACAGCTTGAGTGCAGGAGTTTCCCAGTTTTCACCTACTTTCCTCTCATCTAATTTTCAAAATAACCTCATGGTTTTGAAGAATCAGGGCCAACTGTCCCTTATTCTGGATAAGACAACTGAGTCTAAATTGTGTAAAGTGACTCTGTCAGGGTGTCCCAGCTGGCCCGTGGCAGTGTTAGAACCTAAACTGGCTACAGAGAGTTTTAAAGCCAGTTTCCCACCCACTGTGCAATGCAGATAATCCTTTGGAAGACTTTTCTAGAATGAAAGGTGATCATTAGGCATGTGACCCACCTGAATTCACTCCTCATCTGATGTTGGACATGTTGCCTGGACTTCATGAGACCAGGTCCCCATATGCAGACTGTGGAAATGTCATCAGTACTGCAGTCTAAATGTGACGATCCTGCTAATACTGTAGTATTAATCCTGTAGCAGTATTGTATTGTATTATATGAGAAATACCACGAGGACTCCCCTGGTAGTTCCCCAAATCCCCACCTGTAATCCCACACCAAGAAGAACTACAGAGAGGAGAGAACTCCCCAAAGGGGACCTTACCAACATGCGGTGGACCCTGCCGTACCTCAGATCAATGATGAATCTCTTACTGTTATCACAAATAACTGTATATGTCCTCTTGTCACCAACTGTCTTCTCTGTGGAACGGACAATCACATCCACAGGCAGAGGTCTGTACTTATGGTCCAGGTGGTTGTTGACCTGGTAGAGGCAGCCCCAAGTTGCGTCCTGCAGGGTCTCCTTCGTCACCACAGCCTGACCCCTGACGAACATGAAGATGCTGGAGGAACCCATCCTGGGGAACATACCTGGGAACATGGGAAAGGCAGGAGCTTGAGGGCAGAGAAAAAAGGGAGAGGAGGTGACAACTGCTGAGCTCTGTGTTAACCTTCCACAGAGAGCGTTGGAGGGATCACAGGTTAACCTCTGTTCTTTTTGCTTGACAAGATGTGACGTGAATACTGCACATGCAGGAACGTGATTGTGGATGGCTGTCCTGGGTGACGCTGTCACTGTATTGCATTATAAACAGGTACAGAATCTGATCGATCTCTTCTATGGGCATTTAGTTTATTAAAAACTAGATATTATACAAAATAATGTTATAACTATACAGAAATAAGCTTGTTTATATTTATACATTTTTGTGATTTAGAAAGGGATCACTTTTTATACACTTTTGTGATTTAGATTTTATTAGTACCTATCAAGCTTAGATACTCTGCAGGTCTGTTTTATATGTTTTCTAGTTTAATGCTCATTCTACCCTTTGGGAAATATTATCGTCTTCATTACAGAGAACCAGCATCACGTCTAGAGATAGATTATTAGACTTTTCTGTGATATGATAAGTCCTAGGACCAGGATGTAAAATTGCTTCTCTCAAGCCCCAAAGGGCAGGCTCCTTCTACGCACTGAGCCAAACATTGAACTTTATGTAAATGTATTCTGTCCAAGTCAGGTGCAGTGACGTGCACCTGCAATTCCAGTGACTTGGGAGGCTGAGGCAGAAGGATTGCAAGTTGTGAGACCCTGTCTCAATAGTTAGAAAAGACTGGGGGTGTAGCTCAGTGGAAAGTGCCCCAGGGCTCAATCACCAATACAAATAAATAAATAAATAAATACATTCCATCTAAAGACCTGGCTTAGTTCTGGGCACACAGATAGGAGCACAGAAGAGCTGTTAAGTGATGGAGTACAAAGTCCATTCTCAGGTCAGTACAGGTGTCCAGGTGGAGAGGGAAAGTAGCTAATGAGAACAAGGACTGAGGTGCTTGTGTCTGTTTATTTCTACTATCAACGCTGGAGTATTGCAGTTAGAATTCATCTCTTTGAGAGAAAACTATCCACTCCCTGGAAGGAAGTAAGACATAAAATAGGACCAAGTGTCCTCACGGGTATGCTTTGTCTTACAAGGCCTCTGGGGTCATCTGCCTGAAATAAATTTGGTTTATTTACTATGACCAATTCCTACAGTTTTACAACTCTTTCAAAGTAGATGATAATTTGTAGAAAACATGGCAATGTCTTATTCTGATACTGATGACAATGATTTTTGTCCAAAGGCAATACAAATGTTTAGTGATAAGGGCACATCCAAGGTTAAGGAACTGCTGCTCTTTTTAGTACAGAAACCAGCCTGCTTCATGTTGAGCAGGATTGTTCCAGCACTCTTCTCTTTTCATTGGCTGAACACACATCTATTCCCTTCAGGCTCCTCCTGTTAACCAGATTTTTCTCATTAACTAAGAAACACTTTGGAAATTTCCTTTTCAACAGTCCTAACGTGGAGCAGTCAGATGGATCACATAACCGTTTCCCACATGGATGGCCCAATCCAGACAGCCAAGGTGCCAAATCTCAATCATGTCTCAAGGCTGGGGATCACCGAAGGACTGCAGTAGAATAAAACCAGACAGAGCAGACAGGCTCCCAGGCAACAGCAGAGACTCCAGCTGAACTGGGCCCGGGGGCCCCTTGCAGGTTCATCTCCTGGTGAGAAACGTGTTTGTCTATTTGTATCTACTATCAAGGCTGATGTTTGCATTTAGAATTCATTCTTCTAAGAAGGGAGACCCTTCCCAAGTTTCTGTGCCTGCGGATTCCCCAGACCCTCTGTCACTTTGCCAGCCTCTGCTCCGCGGGGAACTGGTGCATGGAAGCCTGCAATGGGAGGGAGGAGGTTGAGGGAGGAGGTTGTCTGGGTGTGTGTGTCGCGTGTGCACAGAAGACACAGACGTGCATGCAGAGGCGCAGTGTGTCCCGACGCGAGGCCCCACATTCCAGCACCTTTGCTGAGGATGGGGGCAGCACTGGAGAGGTGAGCCTGGGCTCTCTGTTCTTCACAGACTGACTCAGGCCCTCCTCCGCCCTCCTGCCCAGGCTCCTCCTGACCACACAACTCATCCTCCTCCCTCCCTGCCCCCATCTGCCTGAGGCATGCCCCAGGGACGTGCCCACTTGTGAAACAGGACCTGGCAGCATCCTGATGGACATTAGAGGGGGTCTTGTGGGACCATTGGGCTCCTACCACTGAGGAATCTGTCCCCACTTAAGGAGCCAACCCCTTGTCTTGGGATAACAGTGGCCCTCACAACAGCCCCAGGGAAACAAATATAGGAAACTGAGGAGCAGAGACGAAGGGGCCTTGTCCAAGGTCACTCAGCTGGGAAGACCACACTGGGTCTTCTCTGCCTGCTTCCCCTGAGGGGTCAACTCGCCCATCCTCTTAGCAGACTACACTCTCCATGCCCCTACTGGGCACCACAGCTTTAGGATTGGAGGACTTTCAGTTTTTCCCCCTCTTCGTGCCTGTCCTCAGTGGATGCCAAATCCTCCTCTGACCCTGAACCTGGACTGTGCAGTCAGATATGAGGGCTCACATTGCCTTCTTCTCATGACAACAGAAAGCCATGAAGTCCAGTCAATGTGGACTCTACAAGTTTTTCCTGGTTCATTTTCTCACCCATCTCTCATCCACTGAGTAGGGCAAGTCAGCCCCATTGTGGCCTCCATGACCCCTTGCCCTGGCCTCCTGAGTGGCCTCCCCAAGTCCTGTCCCCAGTGCTACACATCCAGTCCCCAAGAACCACATGGCCTTCCCATGGGCACATCTGGTCATGAACTTCCTCTGGCCTCAGAGACACATGCTTCATGCAACCTCAGATCCTTCCTCCTCACCTTCCCTGGATTCTGCCACCAGGCCCACTGAGTGACTTGCCCTCCCCCACCACAGAGCCCCCTCTGTCCTCTGCTGCTGTGCACATCTGACTCTCCCTGCCCCGACCATGTCCCCACATTCTCTCTGACTCTGCCTTGTCCCATCAGACACCTCGCCTGCAGGCTGCCCTCACTGCCTGGCCTGACTCAGCCACCCCTCTCTTTGTCCCAAGTCCTGGGACAAAGGTCATGTTGGGCCATAGTTCTCAGTGGCTGTTCAAACACGGGGTGAGCTGTGAGCCCCAGGGAGTGGGATCCGGTGTGCTGGGCCTTCCCTTCCCGTGTCTTCAGGATCCAGCCCACAGCCGGCCTGGAATGGAGCAGGGAAAACAGGGAAGAGGGATGGAGGATCCGCAGGGCCAACACTCCTGCCCAGCTCCTCCTGCACTTCAGCCCAAGGGGCAGCCACCAGGGCAAGGCAGAGCCAGAGACGGTTGTCATTTTAGGATCATTATTGGACGGTTAAACCAGGTCTGGGCCCTGCCAACCAGCTGGAGTCTCCACCTGGAGTGCCTGGGGGAGGGGTATCCATTCTGTCCTGGAGTCTCTAAGCCCACAGCCAGGACTCCGTCAGTGGTGCACAGTTGGAAGTCCAAATTACAGCCTGTGCCCAGCTTGGATAAAGACATGGGACAGGACGTAGGTACTGGGGTGGCCAATGTCTTGCATCCTTGGGCAGATACCTCCCTTCTACAGGATATGATACCCACATTCCAGGTTGTCGGAGTCTAGCTCTGGCAGGGGATCTCAGGAGACGAATGGATGGTGAGGAGTCGGCGAAAGGGGGGTGGAGAAACAACACAGACACCAAAGTGAAGGTGCTGAATCCCCATCTTTACTTGTGAAGTTGATCACATATACTTTTCATTTTGGCAGGCTCACAGTACTTTGTGGTTACAAAACAGGAAACATTATTCAAGGAAACAAAATTTTACGTAGCTACAATTAGATAAGAAGAATGTATTTTGGCTTATGCATAAGCAAGCCTTTTTCCTTTCAGTTCCCATATTGCTTTGAGCTGTTTCCGCTTAGTTAGCTTTTAATAATAGTTAGAAATGTCCCAGACTATTGGCCTATACTTTGACTATTCTTGCTTGTCTTACTGACTAGAACCGGCACTGAGGTTATGGCAAGTGGTTAACTTAAAAAGAGAGGCTACTAATTTTAATCAAATAAGAGTAAGGGCACCAAACCATTGTGCACAGGAACAAGAACAAATTGCCCAGTATCAAGCACTAATCTGTCTTCTTAACATTAATTTTTCTTCTCTAGATTTTAATTTAATTTCTCAAAAACTTCCTTGACTATTTTTCCTACAGGGGGTTTCTCATTAAACATTAACAATTTACTTTCCACAGCTGAATCATTGCATTTAGAGCAAACATTTCTATTCTTTAGAAGTAGTTGCATCAGTTGGGAAAGTCATGTTTTTTCCTTCATACTTAATGGTCATAAGAGAAGTCGCAACTATACTTATTAACAGGAATACAGAAACAAACCAGCCCATTCCCAGAAACATGCTGCACTCTTCCAGAGGATGGACACCTTGCGCCATCCACCTGAGTAGGACCTTGCCATTGTCTGAGTCAGGGGAGGGGTGCAACACCAGGTACTGTATGACTTTCACTAATGGCTGAATTCCCGTGTGTTCCTTTCCTACTGCACAATGGAGCTCCCTGGGACTTCAGTGAATCCGGACATCTGTAAGAGGAGATTTAGAGTTCAGAATGTTTAACTCTACTTCATGAGGCAGGATGAAGGCCGTTGGGGAAAGAAGTGAGAACAAGGCCTTTGGGTGGAGCAGGGATGGAGCTCAGTCAATAGCAGAGGCAGCTGTCAAGGGAAATCACTCACCTTCCAAGACTAGGGAACTGCTAGATCCCCCTCCTCTTTCTCCTCCAGCTGCCTGATGAGCAGGCCCAGCTCCCTGGTGCCCCCACAGCTCCCTGCCACATGGTGGTCTCTGGCCGCCCGAACTGTGCCAGACACAGAGGGCAGTCTCACGAAAATTGAAGGATATCAGTAGAGGAGAGACCAGGGGGATGGAGGAGGGAAGGGAAGGAGGAACTACTGGG